TTATCTGTTAATCAAAATCACATTCTATGTTTTAGGGCTGGCCCTTTTTTTTTTTTTTTTTTTTTTTTAGTAACATTTGTTTTTTAATTATAGAAAAGTACAAGAAAGGAAACAAAAATAGCTCACAGTTTTACCACCTTCGCATAAAAAAAAGCCTACATGCAGCTAGAAAATTTAAAATGACAGAAAGAAAGAAAGAAAAAGTCCCACTCAGTCCCTCTCCCCAAGGATATCCACTCTTAAGTTTTTTGTGGATATGTTAAAAAAAAATACGCCTTACATCTATCTACTTAGCTATTGAATAAGGACATAATTAAAGCTATAAATAAGGATATATAATATACCCTTCTTTATTTACACAAAAGAGATCACACTGTGTAGACTGTTCTTGGCTTTCCTTTTCTTCTTCTTCTTTTTTTTTTTTTGTGAGGAAGATCAGCCCTGAGCTAACATCCAATGCCAATCCTCTTTTTTGCTGAGGAAGATTGGCCCTGAGCTAACATCCATGCCCATCTTCCTCTACTTTATATGGGATGCCGCCACAGCATGGCCTGACAAGCAGTGCGTTGGTGCGCGCCCGGGATCTGAACCCGCGAATCCCAGGCCACTGCAGCGGAGTGCTCGCGCTTAACTGCTAAGCCACGGGGCCGGCCCTGACTCCCCTTTTTTCTTGAGGAAGATTGGCCCTGGGATAACATCCATGCCCATCTTCCTCTACTTTATATGGGACACTTCCACAGCATAGCTTAACAAGCAGTGTGGCGGTGCGTGCCCGGATCCGAACCTGCAAACCCTGGGCCGCCGCAGCGGAGAGTGCACACTTAACCACTGTGCCACCCAGCCGGCCCCATCTGTCTTCCTCTATTTTGTATGTGGGTTGCTGCCACAGCATGGCCGCCAATGAGACTTATAGGTCCATGCCCTGGAACTGAACCTGGGCTGCCGAGTTGCAGCATGCCGATCTTAACCACTAGACCACGGGGCCGGCCCATGTGCAGCCTTGAGAAGAGTGTTCCCAGCAGAGGGAACTGCAAGGGCAAATACCTGGAGGTAGGAACCTGCCTGTCATATTATAGAAACAGCTGAGTAAGCAAGGGAGAAAGTTAGGGGTCTGGAGGAGGCCAGATCATGCAGGGCGCTGTAAGAGCTTTGGACTCTGCCGTGAGTGAAACAGGAGCTATTAGAGCGTTTTGAGCAGAGGAGACATGTAGTCTGACTTAAGTTTCAACAAAATCATGTTGGCACCCAGGCTGCTGTGTGGATGCCCCAAAACCGGCCTGCTGCCCTGACTTTTTGTCCCTACTACCCACATTGCTGAAGAGCTTCCCGCTGTATCGCAGTGTACTTTCGAGGGTGTATCTGTTGAGTAAATTCTTGGCAGTGCAGTTGTTGACTATGTGCATTTGCCAGATTTTCTCCCCAAAAGCTTAATCTTTCTGATCTTTAGTTTCTTGGTAAATTAAAGGTTGCAATAATAATCCCTACTTCAGAGTACTTTGGGATCATCAAGCAACATATTGGATTTGAACTAGATATAAACCAAGGAGCCATACACGTGGTGGTCATGAGTTAATTGGATTGGCTGGGAAGTGGCCCCCATCTTGGAGGGCCTTTATGGCCACGGTTTCCTGGGGTCTTGCCTTTTTTATTTCCCTGCGGCTTCCTTGCTCAGTCTGATTTTGGAGATAAAAGATTTCCTCCCTTTGTTTACTCGGTTGATTTTGCAGGGAACCACAGCCTGTAGGATTGTTTTTCTGGAGTGAGAGGGGGTGGGGGCTAGGTTTAGGGTGTCACTCCACGACCCTCCCTGGATGGCGGTGGACGTCTTCTTATTCTTTAATTAGCCATCTTGTGGAAGACGAAGAAGTGGAAAATTTTAAAGCAGTTGCCAGATTACAACTCTAGGCTGTAGCCTGCAGGTTAAACGTTGAGAAGCTGGGATTACTGGCAACACGTTTTCAGGATTTGGAGTTTGCCAGCAGATCAAAGCAGCCCCCAGGGCTTCTGAGGGGAAGGTTTGAGGGCCCCTCTGGAAGTGACTTGTCAATTGTAGAGGCCAGGCTGTCTAGTCCCTCTTGGTGTACTTCCTGAAAGCTGATTTTCTAGGGCAGCGCTGTCCAGTAGAACCTTCTATGTAGATGGAGATGGTCTATAATCTGCACTGTCCAGTACCAGGGCCGCTGGGCCTATGTGGCTATTGACCACTTGAAATAGCTAGTGCAACTGAGAAACAGAATTTTACCTTTGATTTAATTTTGATTAAAATTTACATAAGTGCATGTGGTTAGTGGTTACTATTGTACAGGGCAGTTCTAGGCTGGTGCCCCTGTGCCTAGCCTGACGCTGAACTCCCTGCACTTCACTCCGGGAATCTGTGGCCTCATTCTCCCTCAGATCAGGTGCCCCCGTCCCCAAGTCCATAGACTCTTTTCTTTTGTCTCTGGCTTCTTCCACACTTTCTGGAGGAGTAAGCCCTTGTGTTTTGTTCTGTCTTGTTCTTCACTTGTCTCAGATGTGCCCTTTCTCCCAGCTGGAGTGAGATCCTCAGGAGCTAGCTGTCTTCATGCCTTCCTCTTGTCGTCTGTCATTAAATACTTAATGCCGACTGATTAATTGATTTGCCCTTTTTAACTGAGTTCTCCCCTGTTTCCTAGGTGCCTTGAAGAAGAGTCTCACAGCCGAGCAGGTCCGGGCTGATTTCATCACTCTGGGTAGGTCGTCACCCAAGGCTGCTCCTGGTGACAGGCCTTGCAGCTCTTTATTATGTTAATGTATCCTCTGTTCTCTTACAGGTCTTGGTGAGGAGAAGGCCACTTACTTCTCTGAAAAGGTATCATAATTCCTCTTAATCAAGGTTAATTAAGATTGCTTGCGGGCCGGCCCGTGGCTTAGCGGTTAGGTGCGCACGCTCCGCTCTGGTGGCCCAGGTTAGGGTCTCAGGCATGCACCGACGCACCACTTCTCTGGCCATGCTGAGGCCGTGTCCCACATACAGCAACTAGAAGGATGTGCAGCTATGACGTACAACTATCTACTGGGGCTTTGGGGGAGAAAAATAAATAAATAAAATTATAAAAAAAAAAAAAAGAAAGATTGCTTGCTTTATTTCTTGAAAAGAAACAAATGGAAAATGCCGACTAAGAAAAAACCATCAATCATTATGTGTCATTTTTCCAGCTTAATGTTTTTCATTTGCTTTTATGCAAATGACATACAGCTTTTAAACAACACTATTTAGTGCATTTCTAATTTTCTTCCTCTGATTTGACTGAGTATAAATTCATTCAGTTTTTGTTCCGACCTGGATTAAATCTTGGAATGAAAGAAAACGTTTATGTTGACTTCTGCTCCTCTTTATTCCTCCCCTCCCCCAGATCTGTGCGTATAGGCCCAGCCTTGGTTTTGCATTCTTCCCACTGTCTGTATAAATACTAAACCTGGGTGTGCTGGGGGCAGAATGAAGAGGGGAGAGTTTTCCCATTGTTATGACTTGGGCTTTTTGCTTTTGTTCCAGTGGAAGCAGAATGCCCCCACCCTCGCTCGATGGGCCATAGGTCAGACTCTGATGATTAACCAGCTGGTAGATATGGAGTGGAAATTTGGAGGTAACTGGTTACAGCCAGTCCCGGGTCAATTGGGTGATGTCGGTTGGGGTTACAGAGGCTTTTAGACAGCCTCCATGGGAAGAGGTGTCCTCGGTCCCCAAAGACAGCTGGGGCCAGCAGCTGCCGCTCTGTCTTGCTGTCCACGTTCAGCGGCTGTTTCTATCCACAGCTCTCGATAAGTTGACTTCCCGAAAAGCACCTTTTGCTGTCCTCATACTCGCCCCCACCCGGTTTCTACTGTACAGCCTGCAAGATTGCAGTCTTCAGAGTGGGTCCTCAACCAGTCACTTATTGTTTTTCTCTTTTGTGTCGCAGTGACATCTGGGAGCAGCGAACTGGAAAAAGTGGGAAGTATTTTTTTACAAGTAAGTCTTGTCTTGATTCTTGAAAATGGGTAGATTTTTGACTTGGTTAAAAATTAAGTCTACATTGAGATTCTTTAAATATCCAATTAAGTGGATATTCCAGTGAAGTGCCTTATATATCTCAGAGCAATGTGATCAGCCAAAGACGTGGTCACTGACATGCTTGCTTTCAGATTCATAGGATCCGGATATTATTATTAAAAGTTTGGGGGCCAGCCTGGTGGCGCAAGTGGTTAAGTGCGCTTGCTCTGCTGTGGCGGCCTGGGGTTCGTGGGTTCGGATCCCGGGCACACACCGACGCAGCACTTGGCAAGCCATGCTGTGGCGGCGTCCCGTATAAAGTGGAGGAAGATGGTCATGGATGTTAGCCCAGGGCCAGTCTTCCTCAGCAAAAAAAAAAAGAGGAGGATTGGCAGATGTTAGCTCAGGGCTGATCTTCCTCACAAAAAATAAAAATAGAAAAGTTTGATTGTTCATGTCATCTAGGGAATTGTTAGAAGTGTTGGTGGTGAACGATCCAGACCGCTCCTGTATAACTCTCAAGTTAGAAGCTGGATGCTTTGGTTTTTAAGTGAAAGTTCAGGGTTTGAGAATTACTTTGACCACGTGTCATCCTTTTAATTTTTTTATTTCTTTTTTTTTTTCTTAATCAGTTAAAGTTGGTGGTTAAGAAAGGAAATCAAACTGAAAATGTATATATCGGTGAGTCTGAATTCCCTTTGAGCCTTTTCACTTCCCCATGTTCTTTTCAGTCAGTGGCTCACGAGGCCCAACACACGTCATTTCTTCCAGGAAAAAAGTCATAACTGAGCTCTGTTATAACCACTGCCTTTCCTCTTGTGAAAGATGGTACGAGGATCATTAATAAGCCGTCGGCAGGGTAGAGAGCCCATGGTCGAGGGGCCTTTTCAAAAAAGGGAAAACAGGGAAGGAATGGCATGGATTACAGAGTAAGAAGCTCTTGCTGTAGGATCCAGTTGGGCATCCTGAATGGCGCCCGTCATCTCTTTGTGCTGTGGAGTTAGGCCATTTTAAACCCTCCCGACTTTCTTATGCCGAGAACCATTCTCTGTTCAAGGCTGTCAGTTCTTTATAATGATCAGTTACCTGTCTAGAGCTGCTTAGATGGACTAAGCCAAAAAAGGAAAAAAAAAAAAAAAATCTCTGGGTGGAAATTAATTTTCTTGGATGATTCTGTGGCGTTGCAAACATGTCCCTGAAGCTGGATTTTCTCTCCCCAGAGTTAACCTTGCCTCAGTTCTACAGCTTCCTGCACGAGATGGAGCGAGTCCGAACCAGCATGGAGTGCTTCAGCTGATTTCTGTCCCCCTGCCTCTGCACCGTGCCCCTCCCTGCGCCCTCCTCTTCCGTGGTGACTACTCTGAGGGCCGCCGCTCACAGGCCTGTGGGGCCTGATTTGGCCCTGCTTCGGAGCCCAGGTGCGAAGCTTTCTGAAAAACAATGGGATTAAGTACTCAGCCCTGCACAATCACCTTGCACACTTTTGTTAGGGAACCTCCACCACGTCTCTCCCAGGACACTTTTTAGATATTCAGACAGGCTTTTGCGTCTCAGATTCAGGGGAGGAGATAAACTGAGTCACCCCCCCCCCAATCAAAGTTCCAGAGTAAATAAATGGTGCCGTCGCTCAAGATGCCTGTGATCACCCTCCCCCTAAAAAAGCAAGGGCTTGTTGGCGGCTGAGGAAGAGGCAGACACCGCGAATGACGCCTGTGGGGAGCCCCCAGCGAGATTTCTGCCCCGTGCTTGTGGTGGGGCATCGCTCAGCAGTTTTTACTGGGGCACCCGTGTATAAGTGCGTGCTCAGTCTACTCGGGCAAGAGCTGAGGCGGAACTCCGTCCTCATTTCTGGTCTTGCCCTGTTGTATTGTAATGAGGGGGCCTTTTGAGGCTGCTTTAGCTTGTTTTGGTTCTAGCTGACTTTCTCTGTTGGTGAGATGATGAATAAAAAAGGTTCTGGAGAAAAGGTCTGAACCCGGTTGTTTCTATGCGTGGATTAGTAATCTGCCCTGCGGAGAGCTAGTGCTCTGATCTTCAGAAATGTCTTCCTGGCTGTGGTGACGGCCCTGGGTCTCCAGTGGAATTAGCAGCAGTCCGAAGTTGGAATTTGTAAACACAGTTCAGGGGAAACTCGGGTTAAAAGCATCACGAACAGCAGAGCATCCAAATGCTGGGTGTTAGATGACTTCAGCTCCCCCACCACCATGTGGTTCTCCTCTCCTCCTCAGAATTTTTTAAAAAGTTTGAATAGATATGTGCCCATGATTCAGAAGATACAGTGTAAGGTAATTCCTCCTCACCTCCATTCCCCGCTCCTCCCCAGAGGCAACCACAGTTACTAGTTTATTCTGTGTGCTTCTGCAGCTATTTCATGCATTGCAAACAGAGTTTGACTTTTCTTCCCACACAGACAGTAGCGCCTGCACTTGTACACCCAGCGTCCTGCACCTCGCTTTTTTCATTTAACTTAATTATTCCACATCGGAACAGGGAGAGCAGCTTCATTCTTTGTAGCAAATGCACCATGTTTCTTCAAGTGGATGATTTATTTTACCGTTTTCTGCTCATAGGTGTTTAGGTTGTTTCCATTCTTTTTCTTTTATGAACAATGCTGCAACTGAATATTTTTGTGTATATGTCATTTTGCATGCGTGGAGGTATATTTGTAAGGTAGATATATGGACGTAGAATTGCTGGGTCAAAGAGTATGTGCACTTATCAAAGAGTATAAAAAGGAATAAAGCAGAAAGGTCCCTCTACCCTGTCTCCCGTTTACTCAGTTCCCCTGCTGCCTTCCTCCAACAGGTAACCCCAGCTATTAGTTTCTTGGTATCCTTCCAGAGGGCTTTTTCCCCCACATATAAGCAAAGGGAATTTTAATTTTTACTCTCTTTTTTGTTGTTGTTTACACAGATGAGTATACACCATACACGCTATTCTTAATGTATCTTGGAGATCTTTCCATATCAATACATAAAGAATCTGCATCCCTTTCTATGGCTGCAGCATATTCTGATATGTGGATTGGTCATAACCAGCATTTGCAATTTTGATAAATAGTGCTGGTATTAGTCAGGGTTCTCCAGAGAGCAGAACCAACAGGATGTATGTGTGTAAATGGAGCAAGATTGATTTATCTTAAATGCTGGGCTCACACAATTGTGGCAGGGGGAACCAGTCTTTGTTCTATTAAGACCTTCAACTGATTGGATGTGGCCCACCCAAATTATGGAGAGGAATCTGCTTTACTCCAATTCAGAAGTCCACCAATTTATATGTTAATCTCATCCGAAAAAACACTTTCACTGAAACGTCCAGAATAGTATTTGACCAAATATCTAGACACAGTGGCCCAGCCAAGTTAATGTACAAAATTAACCATCACAGTACCAAACTGACCTCTACTGAGATTGTTCCAGTTTATGCAAGATTACTATGCACAAGTACCAAAGAAGAGCAAATCAGTGCCATTGGACAGAGTTTCACATGTGTCCATGAGGTTTCTGAGGGCCGCTTGTGCCTGAGACCATGAGAATCTAATGTAAAAAGAATTCACAGGACGTCAGAACAGGAAGGCACCTAAAATACAATCTAGTTATACCTACTTATATTAAAGATGGGGAAACTGAGGCCTGAAGACTATAACTTTGGTTACTGCCCAGTGTTAAGTGCTTCCCTGTGAGCCATGGGGTCCTGCTCGGTTCAGAAATAGGGTCCTGGGAGACCTGAAGGGGATTCACCCAGCTGGCCACTGGACAGATTCTGACCACGGAGCTCCTTGCCCTGCCCACTTCAGGCCCTCCTGCCCTGGCTGGGTCCCAACAGGGGCTTCCTGATGGCCCAGCCCAGTCTCCAGCCTCGCAGCTTCTGCAGCTGGCCTGTTTCCTGGGTGAACATTCTTACAGGCAGGTCCCCTGTCAGCCCACAAATCCAGATGCTCACGGCTCTGCGTGGTGTCCGCGGTAAAGTCCAAGCTCCTGAGCGCACCAAGCCCCACAGGCTGGCCCTGCTGCGTCGTCTTCCACTTCATCTCTGCTGCCCCCAGCAGGTGTCCTGTACTGGAGTGTCTAGTCTGCCAGACTGCTGACAGCCGCCGTGCCAGGAGGCCGTCTGCCTCTTCTCCCCTTGGGCCTACAGTGCTTCCCCCACACTTCAAGATGTGGCAGCCAGCGCACTTCTGAGGGTCTCTCCCGACAGCTCCAGGCCATAATAATCACCCCTAGGGTCCCCTTCGTACCTCTGCTGCAGGGGCCAGGAGTGAGGGTTTTGCGATCACTGCTTGGCTTCCAGTCCTGGCTCCTCTGCTTACCAACTGTGTGACCTCAGGCAAGCTCCTAACCTCTCAGAACCTTAGCTTCCCCATTTGTAAAATGGGTATAGCTCTGACCTCACAGGATTGTTGGGCAGATGACTTAGCACAGTGACTGCTCTACTAATGGGGAGCTCATTATCAAATTATTGTAATTGTTGGTTTGCAGGATACTCTTCCCCACTAGCATGTGGGCTTCTTGATAAGAGACTTGTGTTTCAGCTCAATAACCCCGACACTGGGCATCAGGCAGCCCCACTCCTCCTCCCCACTGCCGCCTGGTAACAGGTCCTGTTGTCAGTTGAGATGAAATGAGGCTGCCTGTAGACTGTTCACAAACCTGCCTGGCTTTAGAAGAATAAATCTGAGGAAGTTGGTTTGATGGTTGGTCTATTTTAACATATATCATAGATGAGTCTTTAGTGTAAGGCGGTCAGGCTGGCACCCGTCTTCCAGAGGCCGTCTTCCAAGAGCAGCTGAACGCCTTGTGCCTTGCTTCCACAAACATTCCTGGAGCGCCTCCTATGGGCAGGGCTCTGCTGGGCCCTGTGGACTAGGGTGATGGGCTGTGCACACAGATAATTACAGTTTATCTTTTCTCTGCAAGAGGACCCTATTCTATGCAAGAGGAGATTGTAGTCTCACGCCCTTTTGCTATAGTTCAGATCCCATTATGAACTCCGGGATCGACTCCAGTCCCTTGGTTGTGTTGGAATTTTGTCACAGATATAGTCTATTGAATAAGGAGCATCGATCGGGTCTGTGGACTGTTCGGCAGGGGTTTTGCCGCAGGGCTGGGGGATTGGAGCAGGTTCTTTCTTACTGTTAGCACTTCGTCTTTGCATCAACTTGTTGTTGTTCCTGTTCTGCTTAGAAATCTGCTGTTCACCTAGTCTTTAGCTGCAGGTTATTCTTATTTTACGTTTTATTTACTTTTGGAGCATAATGTTCATTAAGTTGGCAGTGGTTAGGCCAAGAGAAGATCAACCAGAAATACCTGTATTCTTTCCCTGGAGGAAAAAGGATTGTCCTGGATGGGGTGAGGGAGACACTCATTGTTCAGTTCTGACACTCTTCTTTCTTTTTATTCTGGTGATGTTAAAAAAAAAGGCAGGTGATGACAAGGAAAATCCCCAAATAGTCCAAGTGGTCAGCTGCTCCCCAGTGGGACCAGCTGCCTCGCACAGGGGCATTTGCTGGAGTGTAGAAATGGCCTTTCCAAAAGGCAGATAACCCAACAACAAATATTTCCCTAAAGAATATTTGGTTTTTTCTGGATTGCATTTTTTTACATTTGTCATATTTCACAAAAGTATTTCAGAATTTCTGTGAAAAGTGCTGTGGATAGTGTCAGATGGATGGTACCTTGTATTTGGACAGCACTATAGTTTTTTTGAGGGGAGTCAAGTTTATTAAGGCATAATTTACATACAGTGTAATTCACCCTTTTTAGGTGCACAATTCGGTGAGTTTTGATGAATGTATACAGTCGTGTAACCACCACCATAGTCAAGATTTAGAATATTTCCATCACCCCAAGAAGTTCCCTCATGAGTCTTTTTGTGTGTGTGTGTGTGAGGAAGATCAGCCCTGAGCTAACATCCATGCTAATCCTCCTCTTTTAGCTGAGGAAGACCCACTCTGAGGTAACATCTATTGCCAATCCTCCTCCTTTTTTTCCCCCAAAGCCCCAGTAGATAGTTGTATGTCATAGGTGCACATCCTTCTAGTTGCTGTATGTGGGACGCAGCCTCAGCATGGCCAGAGAAGCGGTGCGTCAGTGCGCGCCCGGAATCCGAACCCGGGCCGCCAGCAGCGGAGCACATGCACTTCACCGCTAAGCCATGGGGCCGGCCCCTACCTCATAAGTCTTTGTCGTCAGTCCCCTCCCCTCATCCCCACTGCTGGCAACCGCTGACCTGACTCCTGGCCCCACAGTTCTGCCTTTTCCAAAAGGTTGTATAAGTGGAATCCTTCAGTTTGTAGCTTGTGTGCCTTGCTTCTTCCACGTAGCACAGTGTTTTTCAGATTCGTCTGTGTTATTGACATGTCAGTAGTTTTTTCCTTTTTATGCCTGGCTCCTATTCCATAGTACGGATACATCCCAGTTTTGGGGTTTTTTGATCTGTTTCCTGGTGACCAGTGGAATGGGTTGTTTCCTGCTTTGGTGATTATGAATAAAGAACAGCACTGTAGTTTCTGGCATTCATTCCTTCACATGCATCATCTCATTTGAAGCTCAGGACACCCTGAGAGTTGGGTGTCGCTGCACGAGTGTCTGAGAAAAAGGACCCACCACGGGGTACACTTGCATGAGGTCACATGGTGACAATTGGAACCTTGGTCTTCTAACTCCCAACTAGAAAGGGTTTTGTTTGGTTTTTATTGAGATATAATCCGCATCCCATAAAATTGCAATCAGAAAGCTTTTACGAGAACTTACATAAATCAGGAAGTATTATGCAATCAAACCCCAATGAAACATCTCCGTGAATATTTCATTTCTCACCCTGTGTTAAAGGAGAAGGAATCTTGAAACAATCTAGTATCAGGCAATAGGGGATTAGTTATATAAGTTATGGTATGTGATGGAATAGCATGCAGTCATTGAAACTATTAAAGACCACGGTATTATGAAAAGGCTCATGGTCATGATGTGTAGGCAAAAAAGTCAGGTTACAGGGGCCAGCCCAGTAGCGCAGTGGTTAAGTTCGGCATGCTCTGCTTTGGTGGCCAGGCGTTCACAGGTTCAAATCCTGGGCGCGGACCTACCCCACTCATCAAGCCATGCTGTCGCGGCATCCTACATACAAAATAGCGGACGATGGGCACAGATGTTAGCTCAGGGCCACTCTTCCTCAAGCAAAAAGAGGAAGATTGGCAACAGGTATTAGCTCAGGGCCAATCTTCCTCACCAAAAAAAAAAAAAAATCAGGCTACAAAACAGTAAGATCAAGGTGAAGCTACTCTTGTAAAAAATGTTTACATAGAAACATACTAAGTGGATAAAGTGGATGTAAAGGAAACGTTATCAGTGGTTATTTCTGAGCTGTGGAATTACAGGGTTTTTTTTTTTTTAATTAATTTTTTTTTTTTGAGGCAGATTTGCCCTGAGCTAACATCTGTTGCCAATCTTCCTCTTTTTTTTCTTTTTTCTCCCCAAGGCCCCCAGTACATAGTTGCATATCCTAGTTGTAGGTCCTTCGGTGGGAGGCCACTTCAGCATGGCTTGATGAGTGGTGAGTAGGTCCGCACCAGGATCGGCGAACCCCGGGCTGCCGAAGCAGAATGAGGGAACTTAACCGCTGCGCCACCAGGCCAGCCCCAAATTACAGGTTTTTAATTTTTTATTTTGCTTGTCTGTAGTTTCTAAATTTTTCAATATAAGCACACAAATTAGTATGCTCTATATACAGAAACTGACATATAAGAATGTACACCTGAAATTACACAGTGTTATAAGCCCATATGACCTCAATAAAATAATTTAACTTAAAAAATGAACAATAAAAAAACAAATAAATTAGTGTGCTCTATTTATAGAGATAATGCATGAAAGGTACACAGTAAAAAATTCAAACAGAACTGAAAGAGATGAAAAGGAAAACAACCTCCCTCCCTCCCCGTTAGATTGCTAAGAACATCTATTATTTTTGTAAAAAAAAAATTTTTCAACCAAAACAAGTGAACTTCCTCCACACTGACTACCTGAGTTATTTCTAGGTGCCTTGTCCCTAGCGATGCTGTGATGACTCCCCAGGGCTGACCTAGGCCGTGACCTGGGCAATGTCATCAATTCTGTAGCAGGTGGTCCCACTTCCCTCTCCTGGCCCCTCTGGAACCAGCTCCTCACCGTTTCTTTTCGCCGCTGCTCCCCGAGGTCAGACCCTGAACATCTTGACAGTACGTTAGATTCAGAAAAGCTTTAGTCAAATCACTATTCTCATAAAATCAAGAAGGAAGGAAAGAAAGAGAAAGAGAGAAAAGCTCTAGTCTTCTCTTCCCAGACCCTGCATTCCCTCCTTTAATGCTTCCTGCTAATGTGGTAGAATGACCTTGAGCTTTGGAGTCGGACTTGGGTTCAAATCCGCCTCTTACCATCTGTCTCCTGAATGCACTCATTCGGTGGGATTGTCGACCACTCGCCGTGCTGCAGCTCCAGCACTGAGCAGGTGTGACCTTGAGGGGGTTTGCTTCACCTCCCCACGTCTTTGAGGTTCCTCTACAAAGTGGAGATGGTGTCTGCCTCACAGGGTAATTGTGAGGGTGGAGTGAGGTGGTCTCTGTGGGGCACCAAGCCCAGTGCCTGCCTCAGAGTGGGGCATCATCTCCGCCATCACCCATCTTTGGGTTGTTAGCACTAAGCCACGTGTTCGGAGAGACAGGGAAACTTAACAGATTCATCGGCAGTAGGTAGCTACCCCTACCCCTGAAATTCTCACCCAGGATGAAATGAACGGCTAGACCAGTCGTTCTCAAAGTGTAGTCCCAGGGCCAACAGCATCAGCATCACCTGGGAACTTGCTAGAACTGCACATTCTTGGGCCCTGCTCTAGACCTCTGAGTCAGGAACTCTGTGGTGTGACCCAGTGCTCTCTGTTCTAACCAGCCTTGGTGGGTGGTTGTGATGCTCACATTTGAGAACCACTGGGCAACCCCATCCCCTGCCTTTGAGAGACCCCTAAATACACCTTTAATAAACATAGAATGTGACCAGCTGTACAGGGCCCCCCCAAGATTCTTCCTCCAACAGAGACACCTTGGATTGTGGGCTGTGGAGCCTTGAAATCAACCTGAAGTCAGGGACATCCCCTCAAACACCCTGGCTGCCCTTCAGGAACGCCTTATGATCCAGTCTCCCTGAATTTAGTGGAGTTTCATCCATCCTCTTGGAGTAGGGGCCTTTGAGTTCTTCACCCTGCTATGTGGAGCAGGGCGGGTGTGGGCCTTTGTAAGTATTTTGGGCTGGGTGTCAGGGACAGAGAGACAGGTCCTCCCCTTCATACTCTGGCACCTTGAGTTCAGTCAGTGGTTCTTTGAGTGGCTCACTATGTTCACGGCAGCCCCATTGGCCCTTTGGTGGGAACCCTCACACTTGTGAGGTTTTTCCGTGGGTTTTTGGTTTGGAAGTGATCATCCCTGTGACTGTGTACAAGGCATGGGGCCGGGGTGGTGGGGGCGCAGTGAATTAGGAGACCTGGCCTCCCATCCTCGAGGAAGTTGAAATCAAGTTCAAGGAATTCGAACAACACACAGGAAGTCATGAATCCACGTGGACAGGCTCTGAGTAGTGGACGAGGAGGACACTGGGTGACAGTGCCCGGCAAGGAGAGATGGCGAGTGGTCAGGGAGGCCTCGCTGCGGACTGGGCTGGAGTCAGGGAGCGGCTGCTTTGCCCTGACAGGCCCATAGGAGACCAGTGTCAGGCCACACTTCCCCTTCACACGGCCCTGCATGGAGGGAGATTGAGAAGCTGCCTCTGGCCTCTTAGGAGAGACCCGTTTACCTACTGTTGACTAAATAAAGGCTTAGAGAGGCTTATGGAATAAGACGGCTTTCACATCAAAGGGCTCTTACAAAACAGCTTGGTGATGAGTTAAGTACAAATGAATCAGAAACAGATGGACTCAATTTCCTAGAAAATACCCCTGGGCTTCAACAAGAAGAGGGAACGTGCTCAGCCAAAGGCATTGTGGGTTTTTGCTGATCCTAAAATATGCTCGATGATTTTGCCTGAAACAGGGCTGAGATGCTGGGACTCTGTTGGGCTCCAGGTCGTTAGAAACTCCAGGTGGAATCCTCTCAGCTCATCAGCTGACTCGCAGCAGCCCTTCACAGCCATCCTCAGGGGCCCGGAAGGAGACCCCGTCCGCTTGGTCCTGCTCCGGTGTGAGGGCTGGACAGGGCACAATTGAGACCTTTCTCTTTTCCACGTCGGTTCCCTGACTATAAAATGCAGCAGTTCTTCTAGATGGTCTCTGAAGGCCTTTTCAGCATGAGTGTTCCCTGTGTAATAACAGCGATAACTGCCAACATTTGCTGAGTGATTCCTTATGCTAGGCACTGCTGCGTTAAGTGCTGTGTATACATTGGCTTGTTTTCCTGCTTTTAGCAGCCCTGAGTTAGAACTATAATTATCTCCATTGTACAGATGAGGAAACTGAGGCTCAGAGAGGTTAGATAACTTGCCCAAAGGCCCACAGCTGGTACATGGTAGAGACTGGATTTTAACCAAGTGGTGAGGCATCTCTTGATAACTTCTAGCCTGTCGGTTCCTGGATTTCCATTTTAGTGCAGCCTTCTAGTCCTTGCGTTGGTCCTAAATAGTCTCCTCTCTGACTGCCCTGCCTTAGGCTCTCCCTTCTCAGAAGTCTTTGGAACCTGGACACAGTGGCCTGGAAATACAACCTGCCCTTGCTTACCCACTGCTCCCCCAGACCCCACGTGCCTGTGGTAGGTGCTGGAAACACACAGCCTTGCTCTCAGGGAGGTGCCAGCAACTCCAGGGCGGCGTGCAGATGCCCACCAGAGGCAGCATGGACACGCCCTGGGAGCCCTGATGGAGCGCATCTGACTGACTGGGGTGAGGCGCCAGCAGGAGCAGGGCAAGTGGGCAAGCTGGGCTGGTGGCGCTGCTGAGGGGACAGCATTGTCTTTGCAGGGAGGTGGGAATGGTCATGGCACCATGGAGAAGTAGGCGTAGTTAAAGATGACGGAGGCTGGGTGAGTGTTGGGGAACCTCAGGAGAGGAGGCTGGGAAGAGAGTCAAGGGCCAGCTCCTACCAGGCGAGCCTTAGGGCTGGTCCTGAAGGGAGTCCTGAAGGATGTCAAGCAGGAGAGTGACAGGAGCATCTGTGCCCTGCCTTTGGCCTTGTCCTCCTCCTAGCTCTCAGCCCTCTCCCAGCCTGAGCGGGAGTGAAGGTCTCAAAGGCAGGACAGGTGTCCAGTGCAGTCCATGGTAAGTGCTCAGTCAGTGTCCACCAACAGTGCTGGTGACGGCAGTTGGGTGGCCTTGACCCTGAACATCCACCTCCCACAAGAAGAGCCAGGGCCTCTGACTTGGGTCAGCTAGAACAGTCTAGAAAGCAAGCACCTGGGCAGTGGTTCTTATCTGAAATTTTTTTTTTCTTTTTTTGGTGAGGAAGATTAGTCCTGAGCTAACACCTGTTGCCAATCCTCCTATTTTTGCTGAGGAAGATTGGCCCTGGGCTAACATCCGTGCCCATCTTCGTCTACTTTATATGGGATGCTGCCACAGCATGGCTTGACAAGCGGTGCATCAGTCTGCACCCAGGATCTGAACCCGTGAACCCCGGGTCGCCGAAGCGGAGTGCGAGAACTTACCTGCTACGCCACCAGGCCAGCCCCTGGGCAGTGGTTCTTAACCCTGGCTGCACTGTAGAATCACTGAAGAACACCAGTCTCAGGTGCCCAGCCCTTGAGTCAGGATCTCAGGGGCAGAGGGGCCTGGCATCCGTGTTTTCAGAAGCTCCTCAGGCGGTTCCAGTGCACGGCCAGGGTGGAATCACTGACATCAGAACCCCGCTGGGCGCTTGCCCTGCCCCAGCACAGACCTGTGAAATCAGCATGGGGTGGGATGGGGAGGGATCAGGGCATTGTTAGCAGGCTCCCTCGGTGATTCTAATGTCCATATAATGTTAAGAACCCTTGATCCTATCATTTGGGTGTATTTCCTCAGCTTCTAACCTAGGTCTGAGTCCCGGTGGGCGCCTGGTAAATGCTGATCAGAGATTGGTCAGAAGGCTGAGCCAGGCAGCTTGACATCCTTCTCGTGAACCAGCGAGTGTTGGATGGCTCTCTGCCACTCTCAGGGGCACAGTCAGTAGAAATAATGGCAGTTTGCAGAGTGTCTTACAGAATGCTCCCCTACACCATCACAGGGCCCTGCTGTCAGGGCGCCCACCTGGGCGGGTGGGGCAGAGGAGCCCTTTCCCCG